TTTTTTAAATGGATAGATGGAAGATTTTTCAAAATTGAATTGGCTAATTAAGTAAAAATATATTTAAAATTAATATTTTGAAAAAAAAAAATTTTTTTCTTCATATATAATTAGTTAGTTGAATTACTTGGTCCTAATGATCGTTCATCGAAAAATACAACAAAAAAACAAAATGTAAATATTATTTTATTATTAAAATTATTAATTAAATAAATTATTTTAAATAAGAATTTATCGTCATCAATCAATGAAAAATCCAAAGCATCTTCAACAACAACTAATCATAGTAAATTTAAAATTGATAATTTTTTTTTATTTTTATTTTTATTTTTAATTGATTATCCATTTCAATTTTAAGTAATTTTCCATCTATCCATTTAAAATAATGTCGAACTTCATTTAAAAGTGTACTAATCGAGAAATCATAACCTTGTTCAATTAATTTTGTTTTGTTTTGCTCAATTACTTTTCCAACCTAAATTCATCATAATTAAATTATTTAAATTAATATAATGAAAATAACGTACCACCCTTTTAATATCGTCTGCATTAACAATGACTCCAATACCTGCACTTTCTTCTAGTGCTTTTAGATCGATTGGTTCAATTGGGTTTGTTAAAAGATAATCAATAGCAGCTAAGAAAAATATTTACTATTTATAAAAGCATCGTTAATAGATTTTTTTTGTTTTCTTAAAATACCTATTAATTGTTGTTCATTTTTAATTTTTTCTTCACAAATATATCTGATTAAATAGTCATGTAAATGATATATTTGTTGTTTACTTTTTGTTGATAGAGAATATAAAAGATTTCCAATTGATTTTGAAATTTGATTTTCATTAGGTAAAATTGTTTTAGCCTGAATTAAAATAAAAACAACAATAAAAATAGAGCGAAAACAAAAACAGAAGAAAATGCTAACTTGATTAATAGTAGTTTCTAGTAAATATGTTATACTATGATTTTTTAATGTTTCTCGAGCTTTTTGTTCATTAAGACCGATTGATTGAAATAGAGTGACACGTTTTTCGTTGTCAATCGAGACTGCCATAGAAATAAACTAATGTGAGTTAATAATTTTTCTTGCTTCGTTTTTAAAATGATGCAAACATACATATATATATATGTACTATAACGTAAATTATTCAATGTCTGATGCAATAGTTTTTACGTCTAATGTCATATTATGAGTAATATAGAGAAAGGAAGAACAGAACAAATATCCACCATGCGAACAACAAATTTGTTCATTCCGACACAAACTTTGACTCATTATTTTTATGCAAAAAAAAATGTTCAACGAATAAAAATTTACTTCCTCACTTTTCCAGTTGTCGTTACGACATCTGTCGATATAAGCTTAGGTTTTTTCATCTTATTCTATATTAGATTTATCTTATGAGTATTCTTCTCTACTTGTCGGATGTAAAAATAAACAAATTTTTTCTTTTTTTACTTTTCATTGATATATAGTTTCTGAAATATCCTCTATTGATCTGCAAAAAAACTTCTTTTGACATCATTTTTATCTCGAAAAGAAGAATCATCGATATTCACTTTCTGGGTTGGTGAATTTTTGAGCACGGGAAGTTTCAGCATGAAATTTTCAGCACGAAAATGTTCAGCATCAATAAAAGTTAGAATATAGATAATATTTATTGAATATTTAGATAACATATATTTAGACCTAATTAAATAACAATATACAACAGAAACACGAAGAATTACAATGAAATATTGTACGCGATTGAATCGATCTAAGTTAAAGTATCTGCTTACCGGTTAGATATAGTATTTAATAAACGTTCTTCAAAACGTTGATTTTTGCTTTTTTTTTTCTGTGGTTGTCCAGCTTTAATTTGCAGTATATTAGCATGCCCTAGTCAACTTTCCCCAATAAAATCTCCGGGGACTCACTGGGGACTTTTTTGAGAGTTCACAACCATTGACAGAGACTCTTCAAAATGTTACTAATGAGTCTTCTGCAACGTTTAAACCCTAAAAATTTGATTGAAATTTTCTAAAAAGGTGGGGACTCCCCAAGGACTTTTAGGGAGTCCCTTACAACATGCAACTCCCCGAGGATTCTGCGTTTCTCAGGGGAGTCCCAGGGGATTTGATTAGTGAGAGTCGACTAGAGTGGACTGCATTTTCTTCATCAATTAATTTTTGTAAAAATACCCATAACCTTGGATGCGCACATTGAAACATTGAACCAATTCGACGGTGATAAGCTTTCGCAGCATTATTTGTTCTCATAGTAGCTTGAGTAGTTCGATTGTACATATTCCAAAAATCAATGTTAAATAGAGGCTTTCTTCTGATATTGTTTCGTCGCAAACAACCTGAAACAACTAATAGTTATGACATATAGTTGAAGAAAGCGCTACTTACCGATATATGTTTGTTCAAAATACTCAAGTGTTATTTCATAATCATCTCCAAGATCCATTGATGAACGTTGAAACTCATCGATCACTTGACTTGATTGTAAAAATGTTAATGCTGCTATTTTATGAATATTATGTGCAAATAATGGATCATCTTGGTATTTTGATTGATGTCCGAGTACCTATAATTTCAAGGAAAATATTGAGTTACTATGCACATCAAGTTTATTATTATTAATTTTGTTTTACCTGTATTTTGTGATGTACATTTTGTCGAAGGTGAAAATAGCAATCTGATAATATAGCAGTTGGAAAACTTGTTTGATTTGCTTTAATACAAGCTTGTTCAAAATCTAGCATTATTGTTTCAGGAAGCCAACGTAGTGCAAACTTCAGTATTTCATTAATTAAACGTTTGTATGTTTCAGCATCTTTAAGACGTAATAAAGCGTAAACCACTGGCATTACATGACGACGATAAACCAAATAAATAATATAAAGCTGATAGAATATCTCCGGAACAACTTTAAATGTTCCATCTACTAAAAGATCTTGTGTTAACTAAAGAATATTGATTTGTTCATCACTGGAAAATATTAATATTCTGTCTTCGCCTACAACAGTTCACAAAAGAAACACTTATATCAATATAATTAAAAATGTCCAATGACGTACCAGGACCTGTGTCACAGTGTAGAAACTGGTTTTCACGAAAAGTTTTCGTCAATTGAACTGGAATGATTGAAAAATTAGGATCATTAGGTATTTGAACAATGTTTTTTCCTTGGCGTAACTTTCTTATTCTTCTTTTAATATTATCACGTGATGGTAAACGAGCTAATCCTGGATCAGATAAGTCTAAAAATAACAATTCAGATTTATATCTTATCGAAAGTTACTGTTGAAAATCAAGCAACTTTACATTTGTAACAGTGTGTAGTTATAATATCTGGTGTTTCTTCAGTATTAAGAGCACGAGAGGTAATTTGTTCGTTGAATTTTCGATGTTCAAGTGTTGTACCATCCAGTTTACATGTATCATCTGTTGGTGATGTGATGACATTGTTTGTAATAATACATGTATGAAGACGAGCATGACAATGATGTGAATGAAACTTTATACAACGCCAGTAAGTCATTTTACTTGTTGAGCGGTCCATTATATATGAGTATCCATTAAGATCTAACCGTGGTTTTTGTCTTGTTGTGCCACAATTAGATATTGTTGCCATATGGGAGAATAGATATGTGTTTACTGAGAAAAAGTGTTCTGTTACGAATTATGCAAATCAACAATATATTCGTTTCTATCATTTATGATAATTAATTGGATCACGTTAAGACCACTAATTACTTGTTGTGATCCAATTTTATGAATGATTACATATTTGTATAGCACTGATCTTATTTAATAGGCTCAACATCTTACGCTGATTCTTCTTCATGTTGAACAATCAATGTGCTGATTATTCCTTATGCTGAAAATTCCGGTTCCTTCTCTTTCTCTATTTCAAAATCTCAAATTTAACTATTTTCTTTCAAAATATATTATCTTAGTATCTAATGTAGATGTAGTTATCTCATGTATAGTGTATAATTATGCTAGAGTAATATATTGAGACGTGTGAGATATTATTCGATTTAAATTTAAAATAATAATCAATGTGACAAAATAGGAAATATTCTAGATAAAACATTGTTTTTTAGTTTTGTGAGTTAATTTTTATATAAAAGTCTATTCCTAATTGATGATTGATGAATAAGTATATTGAGAATGGTTTACTCTCACGTTTTCATTATTTCGCTGACTATTTCATTTATTTTTTTACTAATTTTCTTATTAATAAAAGTGAGGTAGAAGACCTATATTATTCATATGTGTCTCATTATGAGCATTTTTCAGACATAATAAAAGTACTCTCTGAACGTAGAAACTTCTTTCATCAATTGTGCAGTAGTCGAAAACTTTTAAAATTTTAAATAGAAAGAAAAAAGATGAGTATTCTAGAGAATAGAGTACTGCAACCCGCGGGTCGGATACGGCTAAAAAATTTTCGGTCAGGTCAGGTCGAGTACGAGTACAAAAGTTGTACCCGTAAAGTACTCTGATTTCAGAGAAAAAAAATCAAACATCTAAATATGATGAATTAACATTAATGACGTAATGAGATGAAGTATTGAAAATATGATGACGTATCAGATGATGAATAATCGGATCAATTTGATGAAATAAATGATTATATGAAAAGGAAATTCGTTTGTCCGAAAGATGGACATGTTAAAATAGTGTTAAAATTGCTTAGTTTTATTTTTATATAAACAATCGCCCCGTTTGGCTATGGCTTTATTATATTTTCTAACGAGTTCATTAACCAGTCAGAGAATCTTTAGCGAAGCTGTGTGAACGGCAGAGACTTGATGGCAATTATTAAGTCCTAATTCTCTAAATATTTTTGTATTTTTTCGCTACTGTCCGTGATGGTCATATAAATTTGGTTATGTCATTATTATTTAATCAAGCTAAATAAAATAGTGAATTTATATTGTGAATTTCGATAACTGGTTCAGCATAAATAGGGTTAAGTGTGGATATTGGAAACACGAGTACTAGAGTTTAACAATTTCAAAAACTATCTAGAACCGAAGGCGTTGTCGTGGCTTTGTTTCTGGGCAATGACTATAAGGAAATGGTAGTTTTCGGTTTGATTCGCAAAATATCGTGTGAAATTGAAACTGTTGAATCATCAGATTAATGCAAAAGTGTTAATTACATTTCGTTGAATTTTCACCATTGCATTGTTGAGATTTTAAGGCGTCACACATTTTAGTAGTTAAGCAACACTATCTTTTACATATATAATGTGATTTTGAATTTTAAGAAGGAAAAAATGAAGATATCTCGACATAACCCTAAGAGTCTTTGTATCTATCTGATAATTTAATGATTATGATTCCTTTCTACGATTCCAAAGTGTTTTTTCCCATTGTTCTGATTTCAGTTTCAAGGAAGTTAAAAGAGTCGGTGACGGTTCGAGTCTCGTTTTCAATTTTTCAGAAACCACCGAACTCTAGCGGGTACGACTACGAAAAGTTGTACCCTTATAGTACTACTCTAGGGAAAATCTAAATTCAATTTTGTTTTGCGTTTTCTCAAAATCAAAATTTAATAAAAAAACGAAAATACTATGTTCAACTTCGTTTCTCTGCTATGTATTAGATAAATCGAGATTAGACTTTTTTCCCATATACTAATCACTATTTATGTGTCAGTATTTTTCGTTTTTTTTTTCTAGAAAAGTAAGACAGAACAGAATATATATAAAATAAATCAATTCAGATCAATGAAATTGTTTTAATAATATGTTTTCAATATAAGAAAAAAAAATACACAAAAGTTCTGAGAACAAAGGAAAACAAAAAAAAACAAGTATGAGAAATATGTGAAGAATATAAAAAAAAAAGAAAAAAAGAAATGACTTTAAAAAAGTCGAATATGTTTTCGTTGATTATGATATGATTTATTTGAATGTCGTCGATTATCATATAAATATCGATTTATTTTATCAAATGTAATTCGTTCATTATTGATAAATTGATTTACTTCATGTTCAATATTTGTTTGATCTTTAGTATATTTAATAATATATTCATCTTTTATTTGATCAATTTCATTTTGAAATTGTTCAACAAATTTAAATATATTATTTTTAACAATTTTTACAGATTTATTATCTGTTTCAATTATTTTTGATTGATTTGATGAATCAAAATTTATATTCATTGTTGTTAAACATGGATTTAATGATAAATGTTCAATTGATTTATTAACTGGAGAACAATGATTAATTACATTTCGAGGTGGTGATGACCAACCACATTCACTAATACTATTTTAATAACATAATATATTATTTTTAAAAACAATACAAAATTAAAATTAAAATCATTTTTATAGAATTTATATATTTTACAAAGGAAAATAATTATTATTTTTGTTATAAGCTAAAACATTTATTTGACTTATTCGAGGATGAATATGTGAGAGTGATGATATTGATCAATAATATTAATGACTTGTACAGTGATTGACATGCTGACAAAGGTGAGCGTTATGGTCTATAGCAACCATTGTTAAAAGTCAACGTAAAATATTTTTATAACACATAAAAACAACAATCATCAGACTCATTTTCTATAGTTTATTATCAACGAGAATAAAGATGATGAACGACATTAACAACAAAATTTCGATGTTAATTATAATTCGAATGTATGAAATATGTTTTTCAATGTTCCAAATAACACCGTTACTAATTTTTGTAAAAAATAGTCGATTATATGATATATATATATATATATATATCTATCAAAGATGATAACTAATTATGTAATTTATTAGTTAGAGTCGTCATATATGATCAAGAGTCAAAATGTGAATTGATCAAATTGTATCCAAGCAGACAAACTTTTGAGAAAGCGCGTTTAAACGCACAGAAAT